TATTAAATCCATGCTAGTGTATAAATTTCATTCTGTAATTCCAGTTTTACTCCTGCAGAAGACCAAAATAAGATTTCAATTTCCTAACTGCATGAAAAGCAATTTAGAGAACTACATCAAGAAAGGATTATTAATTTTTCAACATTCCAGCTCACTCACCCAATTTTTATTTCCGTTAAACCTCTCAGTTGAAATTTTCAGTAAATACTTTAATTATCTCATGAAATACCTTATTGACAACCTAATCAGGTTGAAAATAGGAAGTCCAGCATCCCCAACTTGTGTGGCCTATGGGAAAAGTTATTACACAAGTCACATACAAGTCAATTTAAAACAAGCCCACCAGCGCTATGGCATTGCAACGTCTAAAACCACTCGTCCCTGCACTGAGCACTGCTATGAAGAGGCATATCAGCGAAGAGCCTGGGCACAGCTTCATGATGTCCCAGAAGAACCTGCTGATGAACACCTCTTCCTGCCCACTTCAGTCGGAGTTTAAAGGGAACATGAAGAAGATGGTGTCCTTCAACACCTTGTAGGTAGCTGGTGATTCCAAACACGGTGATGTCTTAGACTACTCTCCCTCCTCACCTGTGTCCCCATTTTATTCCCCCGTTTCCTGACACAAAGAAAAGTGGCGTCTCAAAGGCACTCTGGGGTAGGCATCACTCCCTACCTGTACACGCTGTACTTAACGCAGAGCTGAGCCTCCAAACGCCTCTGCACTAAAACGGCTGAGCTGGCAGGTTTGTTAGAGCACAGAACTGGCTCCACAGCCAACACAGCGAAGGCGAAGGGCTTGCTGCCATTAAAAAACCAAGAGGTGCCGGGCAACCACCTTTCCCTTCAAATTTCTCTAAACAAAGCACACAAGAAAAAAAAAAGCGTTTTCTAAAACCAAGCCAACAAGTTTGTTCAGTTTCAGAGCATTTCCTCAATATTGAAGGGAAAATTTGCAGAAATGAACATGACGCAAAGTAGGAAACACAGAGCGGAAACTGGAGTTTTTCCTAACAATAACTTGAATGACACTGCTAGTCAGGTCCACGTTCAGACATGAGAAGTCTGACCCCAAACCCGGAGTTCCAGATGGTCAAGGTGCAGGGATAATCCTCCCGAGCTTTGTCCACAGAAAAATCAGAAGACATCTTCTACAAGTGTAGGTTACTTGGATAACTACTCATCTACTGCAAGTATATTACCTTAATCAAAGGGAGTAAGAAGTTCTTGCACTTAAGCCAGGCTTAATTTATTAAGTAATAAAGTAATATCCTTATATCACCATTATGTTTTCTTCCCATTAAAATTAGAGCAAGATTTCTACAAACTGGGCTTCACAGGTCTTGT